GTGTGTGTGTGTGTGTGAGAAAGAGAGAGAGAGGAGGGGGGACACTTTTACTAACTTGCCATGTATTAACAATGGGAAGAAAACTACCAGAAAAGGACTCACTAAAGAATTCATTTAAAAATATATTTCCCTATGAGTTCCACAGTACAGTTGAATATTGTATGATACTGATATAAAATTAAGTAGCTGAAAGTCACAATAACCACAAATTTGGTAAATAATTTTTAGATTATTTCCCTCCATTCAAACATTAGAGTTCCACAACTAGAATTCCAAATGTGAATTTCTTCTTCAAAAAGCAATCTCAGAGAGGCAACATTTCCTCCTACATCATAGCTCCAAGCCAAATCACACCCCCACATCCTCTTAAGCCACAGAAGTGAAAACTTTCTACTAAAAAAAGTCATACTTGTATGTTTTCTCTTTGGTGGGTAATAGCAGCAATTGACATTATGGAACTAATGCAGGAAAAAGTGCTAAAGCAGCATTAACTGGATCAAGTCCCCAACTTAGTACCTTGCAGATGTTTTGGTCAACAATTCCCAACATCCACAGTGAATTCCCAACATATGGAGAACACTGGGTTGGGTAAGCCTGGGTTACAGTCTCCTTTCCCTGCACCATACCCCTGATCCAAATAATACCCTCTCCCAACAGCTGCTGTTAAAAATAATGTTGTAGAGAGTTCAAATCACAGAAGCCCAACGTATCCTATAGATTGTCCCTTTAGCACTTCTTACTGGAGCTTGATATCTGAACTGCTTTTTTAAAAAATACAGATGTGTTAATTCATCCAGCTCCTCAGTAACAGCAAAAAAAAAACGCCTGAGAATCACAAAACCCTATTAAGACATCATACAAATAGTAGATCAATAAAAGGTTTCCTTTCATTAAGAAGGACCATAGCTTTGTAAAGTTTGGTCTACAGCAATCATACGCCCTAAGTAAACCAGCTTAAAACAGCAAGCTCTCTTGCAAATTACAGTGAAGCATGGCGAATTGGTGAGCATCTTTCAAAGCATCTTTTGATTCCTCTAAAGCCGATGGGAAGTACTCTGGAGGCATAAATAGAATGCAGATGTTCAAAAATGCATTTTAGCATTCTGCTGAACATATTACCCTACTGGGAGGCTGCTGCTTTTCTCTGGGGACATTCCAAAGAGAGCCCAGCTGATTGTCTCATATTGAAACAACATGTCCAAGATAAATTCCAATGGAAGAAAAAAGCTGGGCTATTCTCAGAACAAACATAAATCATGAAATTAGAAGGCCATTCCTCTCCCTTCTCTCCCTTCTTTTTATCTGTCCTGCTTCCTTTTTTCACTTTCCCCCAATCCACTAAAGAGCTCCCCAAAGGGGAACAGAGTAGTAGGTAAATGACTGCCAAACATGATGCTTCAGGCACTCGCCATAGTTCCCAAGTGCTGCACAGATGGCTGCTGGATAGAAGGTGTAGAGTTTTCAGCTCTAGTGGCCTTTGTTTTCAAGATGGAAAGAAGGAAAAGAAACGTCAGTACTGTGTTGCTTCAGATCTCCTGTCAAGCTCTTACAACATTTTTATTTCCCTGGAAGTTTAGATTCTGACCTTATAACAAAACTTTGCACACACAAAAATTAAATGGGAAATAAAGCAGCTAACACAGCTGATAAATGAGCAGCACAGCTAAAATCAGCATCATCATTAAATCTCTAGTGAAGAAAATGTACTACACGTAGAAGACACTGAATCACAAGATGTCACAGACCACCCCAACATCCCAATGTGATGTTGTAATCTGCTAGAGAGTATGTTCTTAATTATTGCATGGATGTTCCAGGGAGCACCTAGACAACTGCTCTTAATGACTTTTTCCTCGGAAGCTACAAGCTATGATCTGAGAGACCCAGCCAAGAGCAAGAGCTGAAGGGAAAGCCCAAGTCAAGGGAAAGGGTTTCTGACAGACACAGGCCAGGAAAGAGGTTAAGATACAATTAAAAACTGAGTGAGATGAAAGCTGGGTGGAGTCAGTGGACAGAGTATATAAGAGAAATAGATGGGAAAACAGGAAGTGGGTTTTATGCAGGCAAAAGCCCTGTGAGTGGTTTGTAGAACTTTTTTATTATTTCTTGCACTTTTTTGCAGGGTGTTGTGAGTAACTGGCCTGGCAAGTTGCATTGTTTATGGATGTTTTATGATAGGCAAGATTAAAGAACATGCAGTTTGCTCAAAGGAGATCAATCTATAATGCCTGATGGGAATCTAATGACCCACAGAGATTTGATGCTGGGTAAATGCCTCACATAGTGAGTTACAGTCTGACGAAAGACTACTTTGCTCCAAATAGGTCTTGTTTTAGAGCTTTTGTCTGTCCTTTATTCAATGGTTTGGTCACCCCCAGCATTAGAGTTGTATCTGAGTTACATAATGAAAGAGTGTATACACACACACACACACACACACACACACACGAAGCAGAGATTAAAACAGTGTTTTATATCTAGTTGGGCTGCTTATTGTACCCACGCTACTAATGGAATGGTTTGGTTTTGTGTTGAAGCTTTGTGATCCTGGAGTTTAGAATACAAAAATAGGTCAGGTTGCCTAATTTCATTTCTGTTATGACTGCAGAACTAATAACTATAGTGCTGGTTGCAATGGACTTCAGATGCTAGGTCAGAGTGGGTGATAACTTTTTATCTGATTTGTTGCCTGGACTGTTGGAAATTGGAAATGGATGGGGATGCTGTACATTTGGTAAATGAGATTGAAGCTTAAATTGTGTATTACAGGTCTTTGTGTCAGGTCTTTGTGTTTGTTTTGTTTTGTATTAATTCCTACTCATATAGGCATTTTTGGTAATAAGTTAGCAGATTTAGCTGCTAAAGTGTATATATGATGCTGTTAAGAGTTTTCTGTCTTAGTCAGATGCAAATAATATGGTTAAGCACAATTTTTTAAATAAAGGGTTAGCAACTGTATTGAGAGGTGTGAATTACTAGGAATAGAATATTTTTTTTCCATTTGCCTATGTTTCTCCAATTTTCAGACTTTGCTCAATAGGTTCAAATGACACAATTTGTTATGTTTAGGGCTATGACCAGTCATTGTGCTTTGTACAGTATGATTTGTCCTTGGCTTATCTTGTTTTAGACAATGTTCTGTGCATTAAAGGAAACAATCAGTTAGGCCCTTTGATATTGGCTTATAGTGAAGGGAGGGAATATCTTACTGTAGACTGCAGCGTCTGGTAATTATGACTTTTCTGTTGGAAGCTGTTGCTTTGGGGCATGGTTTTGAAGGCATTATGGGATATTTTCTGGGCCACTCCTCTTTGTAATCATTTGTAATTGGGAGAGCCAATGTGTTGTAGTGGTTAAGCGCATGGGACAGGGATTCAGGCAATCTGGGTTCTAGTCCCCACCCAGCCATGGACCCAACTGGGTGACTTTGAGACAGTCACAGACTCTTAGCCCATCAAACCCACAGGGATGTTGATGTGAGCATAAGATTGAGAGGAGGAGGAGAATGCTGTAAGCCATTTGAAGTTCTTAAAAAAAAGAATAAGGGGAGATATTAATCTAATTAATAAATAAAGCTTATTTGTGACCAGTAGGCAACAGGCATAGACCTCTTTGTTGACCTTGCTAGCTATTAATCCCTGGGATGAAGAAGAGGAGAAAAGAAGGGAAGAGAAAAGATTAACCATGAAGGAGATAAGTGAAGAAAAAGAGGCCGGACATCATGTGAATGGGATGGCATAACTATCACTGAAGTACTAAAACTGATGCTTGCTTGCCTAAGGATGAAACTCCAGACCAAGTAAATAGACCATTGCAACTTTATACTGACCAAACAAGCAGCAGAGCCAGCAATAAGATATGTGGAAATGGATATACCTCCAAATGACAAAGTACCTCAGGGAACGGTGCAGCTCAGAGCTTTGAAGAGCTAAAAGTTATACTGGTGGAGTTAATCTTGTCCTTCCACACATGTTTACCGGTGTTTCTGCTTATCAGAATAAACCTGTTAGGTGTTGAATTGCTACCATTTTTCTACATCCATTATTTGGAAAGTAGGTGAAAGATACAAAACATAATGGTGTTGGACTGCTCCATCTACATGTAGACACTGTAACAGATGCCTGCCAAAGTGTGAGTCTACTTCAAGATCTTAATTTTTATTTCATTTACTATATTTGTATCACCAAAGAAGCTAAGAATACCATATGTATCTATTCCACTTGGCTTGCTTTTATACTAGATACTCTTTTAATTGGTGTATGTATATAATTTTGTTTGGGTCAATATTTATTTTCATAGTTCATTATTAAAATATTTTTCTAACCTGATTCTTTTACATGCCAAGGAAGAAAACCCACAACTCCTACCCCAACAAAGGAATGATGTGAGCCCCTTCAAAATGGATAGTAGGTCCAAAGTAGATATCACAACAAACACATAGCTGCCATCAAAACTGGCAGGTGTGTACAAGTATCTCATTCCCCAGTCTTCCTCCATTGTGCTAACTAGCACAATTTAGTCATATCACCATATTATAATATCCTATTCTTTCACTGTGTTCACTCAGTATCATTTGACTTCCACTGACAGGGAATACAAAAAAGCAGAATATTGGGGTGTTAAGACATGTGTATAAGAAACAAACAAGAGGAAAGCAAATGAACCATGTAGGTGCCACCTTTAGTGGCTACTAACACATACTGCAGTTTATAGTCTAGCCCTCAAACAATTTAAAAAAGAAAAAATACCAATATACTAAGACTTAAATATATAGTTTGTTAATAAAACAAAGAAATTGTTTTGAGGTCAACATACCATTTTAAGCAATTTATGATCTTTACCATTCAGATGCACAAGTTATTCCCCTTTTAGAGCAGTGGAGCTCAGTGAGATCAATTGTTCAAGAATAATTTGCCCAAGGTTACAAAGGCAGCCTATGGCCTCATTTCAATTTCAAAACCAAGTCCAAAACCACATTGTATTGACTGAAGTGCACTTACTGTTTCCCCCTGCCTTCCACCACCCTTCAGTTTGTTAATATTCCCAGAAGCATGTTAATCCTTGGGATCCACATCTGTACATCAGGCAGCTTGGGTGGGAAGAGTATATGCTGTTTACTTCCCTGACAATGTTTACATTTCACACTGGGAAAGCCCCCTGTGGAAAAAGCACACACATTACACACACATATATACACATACAGATTCACTCTGAAACCAAGGCTTAAGAAAAGCTCTGTGGGGACCTATAGATCATACGCTATAAATCAAGACATCACAACTGTAAACATATACACCATGAGAAATGGGAACTAACTGTTGCTTACAAATACACAGACACAGCTCCAGCTGTGGGGGATAAAAGTTGAGGGATAAATCACCAACTGAGAGTAGCCAGGAACTCCCACCCATCTTCTAGGCATCATCAGCTATCAAGCAAAAGGGTTATAGCTCCATACAATAGCTGTAGTACAGACAGTTCATGTGACTTTGCATCATATGATAATTGCAAAGATGGTATGAAAGCATCCTGGAATGTCCTTGTGGAATAGCATTACCTTTCTTCCAATAACTTGATTTGGAAAAATTCATGTTGCTTGTGTAACACCTGTTGAGTAAAACATTGGGCATCCATGGCAAGAGAATAGAAGTGTATAGGCTATCTTCCTTTAATAATTCCAGCAGGTGAAGGCACTGCCCATCTTCCAGTGTATCAGAACTCCAGTTATATACAAATGCTGGCTTCTGCACCTAGCTCCTCAGTGGTGCAGCCAGAAATGCACCTTGGGGCTACAGTCCAAGACCCCATAGCCCAGACTCACATTCCAGCACAATGACCACCCAGGATGTAACAGGAAGTGAGGAAATCAGGAAAGGAGAAGCAACACACATTTTATTCTGTGTGTCATGAAGGTGCTATCATGGTCATTATGGTGCTATCTTGATTTAAAATAGAAAACTACACATGTCTTGTGTTTTTTTTAAAAAAAACAAACAAACTGAGTTCACCAACAGTTTTGCTGTTGTTTTAGCAGATCAGGAATGTAGAAACAGCTCTAAGGAATGGAATGGTGGTTACAAATGCTGGCAAGGAGGAAGAGAAATGTTAGTTTTGTGTTTCATAACTGAAGTAATACACATGGACATTTAAGAGGAGCTCCTACGAAATATGAACTCCAGGGTCTAACATTAAATTACCTGGCAGCCATACCTCTCCTTCTGTATATGAGGAATCCCATATCCACCCTTTAGAACTGTCCAGTCAAGAGCCCTGACAAGGGTAAAACACATCACCACTGCCAGTAAATGCAGAAGCATTCATTAGCATTCATTAAAATTAGAGACATTCACCCAAAATTTGCACATTTAACTCTGTTAGCACTTCACATCTTTGTACAAGAATAGTTTGGGCACCTAGAGTGTCTTTTCAGTGTTGTACTTGGCATTCATGATAGCAGATGAGGCTGATATTCCTTTTGTTCTTGGGTTGAAAGGATCTTCCCCAAACACCAAGGTGTTAAAAAGTGTGCAAACTGCTTTTCTGGATTAAGGTCTTCTGGTTCCCAGGAATTCTACCACATATACTATAGTACCACTATCTCCTGCAGCTAGTTTCACCCTCCTATCCCTCTGCCCAGTTCTCCAGCTGCTGTCCTCCATTATTATATAGCTGTCTTTAATTTAGTTAAGGACCTATATGAAAACATGACTTTATGCTCCCTCTCCAAACTGCAAGGGAGCCTGATAACAGAGAAGGTTTTGAGTAACTGCAAACCCCTTCTATATAACTGAAAAGACTTTGCTTCATAGGCTACATCAGAAGAAGAAATCCCCTTTCCCCCCACACTCTAGCAGAGATAATATTGGTACAGTATACACCACCTCAGTCCCCATCTTACCATATCTCAAGTCTACAGATTACAATTAGTCCTCCTAGTGGTTCTACCTAATTTCCTAGCACACTCTCACTTCCTTATTCAGAGAAAAAGTGTCTCATCCCCTTTGTACTTTTGTTACTCCATTTCAGCTGCCTGTTTTCCCTATTCTGTCTTTAGAGCATTAATCTGATATTATGCTCCAAATCAAAAGCTGCTTAGATAATTTACTCTTTACCAGAGCTGCATATTCACCAGTTTCAGTATACTGTATAATAAATTCCTAGCCTTGGTTGGTATTTTATCTCCCTGTAGCACACTGCAGCTGTAAGCCCAAGAACCCCCAAGCACATGTCATTTGGGCACATGTGGGCACATGTGATCAAATACATTTGTTAGCAATAAATGTAGAATAAATCAATAGAAGCAAGTTTGAAAAGACAGGATGTTACTGCTACCTCAAGTAACATTAATTGGCAATATTCCATACTGATCTCTAGATAAGGTATGCAAGGACACATTGAACTATAATTATACATTCCAAAAGAATATGTTATCCAGTGTTCTTTCCAATTTTTCCCACATCTGCTAATATACTGATTAGCCTGCAATGTGTTGCCCACATTCTAACATCACATGCTTTCCCTGACTCAAAAATATCAGATGGGAAAGAGCTTTAACAACACTGCATAGAGTATAATAATAATATTACAGCGCAAATTAGTTGGTCATACTAAGCAGAGACACACTTAAGTATTTCAAGTTAATACAATATTAAAACATACCTCTGGCAATTAGTTCAGGGAATAAAACATTGTCTCAAAAACCTTTCTAAATAGGAGTTTGTATTGTCTCCTGAAGGCAAGGAGGCTGAAACTAAAATGCATCTCTGTGGACACTGCAAGTCCAAACATCCTGTTGGGGCCTGCTTCCACCTATGTCCCACCTGTTTTAATCCCACACCCAAAACCATTGCATAAGGAGCCCCTTTGCACAAGCACAACCTTGGCTGAAATGAGGGATAGGGCAAAACATGTGCTGGGGGATCCTGGGAAAAATGAAATCTGAGCCAGCTTTCTAGCCATTTGGGAACGCTGGTCTTGTGCTACAAATGTGTAGCATCTCTTTAACATTGTACAGTGGTATCAGCAAATGCTTAGATGAGATTCAGAATAGAAGGAGTTCAAAATAGCTTCTAAAATCCCATGCTTAGAGTAGGTTTGGATCCTAATTCCACAGAAGGGAGAGAAGTCACTTTAAACGTATCTTCTGCCACATTTGAGAGCAGACAAATAGGATAACAATTATCTGACAGCTGTCTATTTTAGGCTTTAGGTCACCAAATACCTGAATGTATGATAATATAGGGAAAGAAAAACTGAGGCCTTAAGTGATTCGTCTGAGATCAAATAAAAGATCAGTTGTCGTTGCAGATTTAAAGTCTAGACCTCCTCTCATAAGACCCAAAGTATTTCTCAATATGTATGTACATATATTAGATTGCAAGAAATAATTCATCCCAGACTACACATACCTACATACAAAGAGAGATGAGCACACAGGCATACAGTATAATTATAAGAGAGAGAGAGAGAGAGAGAGAGAGAGAGAGAGCGCGCGCGCGAGCGCGAGTGCACTTAAGAGTAGGCGGGAGTTTCCATTGTGGGCTGTAAAGAACAATGCACTATCAGAACCAAGGTGGCATTGCATGCTTGTACACGTACCCTCCCTTTTAGATCTTTCCTTTGCTAATAAAGGACCTGAAGTCATGCTATTGTCACCAGAGTTTGGCATGTGCTTAGCCACTGATACCGTGGCAGCAACAGTGTGCCTGGTGCCAGTCCTTATTGTCACAGCAGCCGCAGCACTGTATGAAGAAGGGCCCTTCAGGATGCAGGACAATACTGGGAAGGAAAAGGAGGGAATCCTCAACCTTGGGGCAGGGCCTGGTGGCAGACTATTGAACCCTGTGTCTCGACAAGCCACTAAGAGTAAGAAAAAAAATCTTGGGAGCTTCAGAGGTTGCTGATGAAAACAAAGGAGTCTATCGTGTAGGAAATAAAACAAAACAGAGTGAGATTATGTTTTCTTTTGGAGACAAAATAAGTACAGAGCATTCCAGTAGGGTCAGGCAAGTTCTGCACCCTTCACAAAAATTGATTCACAGAGGGAAGGTGAGAAGGCAGGCATGCACTTAAATGCAGGCAGCAAATTCAGAAAGAAAGAAGTGGTCTTGAAAATGAAATAGAAAAAGAAAAACCCTTTCCAATTTCACTTTTGGAGAAGAAGATGTACAGGGGAGAATAGGTTAAAAAGGGTAAACATTTTATCCAAGTTTTAAATAAGCATTGAACTGGATCTACAAAGTACCAGTATTGAATAATGCTTCCTCGCAATTCAATTACATTACAAAATTGAATTATAAAACATAAGAGGCCTGATATTTATTCATTCATTCATTCATTCATTCATTCATATATTTATTAGATTTTTATGCCACATCATTAGTCAAAAGGTTCCCTGAGCAGAATATTTGGACTTGCTTGAATTCATTCATTTTCTTTTAAATCAATGAGAAGTTTTAGGAGTATTGCAGCTGGGGGAAGGTTTAAGCACTATAAAAGAGCTCGAAGAAAATTTCACAGAATTCATATTTCTGAAGTCAAAATGTCATCTCAAATTTTGCAATTTGAATGTTGGGAATGAAATTTGACATCAGTTTTGAAATCTGGTCCATTTCAGCCAGGTGAATGAATGAATCAAGTGAATGTTAAATTTACTGTATTTCAATGCAAGCCCTTATTCCATATTCAAACAATATACACTGGTGTTCATATTCATGTCAGATATCAGACATTGTTACTGTTGCAGGTAAGATGGAGCTAGTGTAGTGTAGAGATCAGACATGGTGCTTCAGTCATGAACTCTGTTGGCGACTGTGGGTCAACTACTGTCTGGATTGTTGTGAGGGTCAAATGAGGAAGAAGGAGAGCCATACAGAGTATCCTGAGCTTGTTGGGGGACGACTGGCAGGGCGTGGAAAATATTTACCAGAAAATCAGCAAAATAGAATTTATTGAAGCAAATTTTGCTTCACCTCTATAATGGAACAAGCCAGAAACCACTTCTGCACTGTGGGTGATTGACTGACCATGCTTTTATTGTGCTCTTACTACTCTTTTGGATCAATCAGAATTATGCATTCAAATAATGTATCAAACAAGACAATGCCAATGACTCCAGCATACCTAGATTTCCATATGGTTTAAACAAATTTGTAGGTAAAGCACTGCGGAATGACATCACAGGATCACATATATTAAATAAGATCCTAATATAGTAACCTTATGTGATATATTTCAAAACTTGCCTTTGAGAAACGGGATGCATAGCATAGCTGTAGAAAGGGACCTGTACCTGTAGAGAGTTTATTTGGAAAGGGACATTCAGCCATGGAAATCTAAACACAGTTTCTCTGGGACCAGATATTGTATGCACTACAGAAAATGGCAACAAGCCCCAAGGCGCATCCATGAGGTGCTTTAGAAGGATGAATTCATTTAGAAATTAATCCCCCATCCACATAAACATGAAGCATTATTTATCCTGGTCCCCTTAAATGCTATACAGATGTTTGAGCCATGCAAAAGCAAAGAGGAAAAGTACAATAGTGCATATGCCATCTAAAACAGTACTGTATCTCCTTTTAAGGGCCAGCTCTACTATTAAAGAGTTGGCCTTCTCAACCAGCTGATTTTGAGTGCCATGGAAGGGCAGCCTTCATTTATTTATTGCACCTTTATGGGCAGGGATAGGGAAAGGCCTTTGTGGGGTGTTCTGCTTCAGGTGCTGAAATAATGCAACCACCCTCAGATACTACAGCACACCTTGACGTGCTGGGTGATGAATGCCATTTGCTACACCACCAAAATGTCTTGGGCTGGCCCTGTTATAACTTCATCAGAGCATAATGACAAGTAGGTGTGATCTGAATTCAAGCATTTTTAGGGCTGTCTGCGAGGCCTGACTTTTTCCAACCATGTGTGAGTTTAACACACAGAAAATGGCCTCTACTTTCATCTCACATCCTGTTCTACCTCTTTTTACACCTATAGCAAATCCCATTCTTTCTCTCCTCCTCTTACCTCCCTGGCAACGCAATAGAAACAATTTATTTTCTTGACTATTCATCAACTCTTCTATGAACTTATTCTAGCAGGGGGTTTTTTTTTAAGCAAGTGGAGGGGAGGGGGAGGGGACGTGGCATTGGCTTTTTAACTGTGGTTTTTATTTCCATAAACCTTACAGCAAAAGAATGCATGAGATATTTACACAAATCTTTCCACAATTCCTGTGGCCTTGAGGGGCATTGCCTTTGCATGAGTTCACCGCTGCGGCTGATTTGTGCTTTCTCAGCATCATCGCCTGAGACAAGGAAGGAGCCCCAAACCCATTCAGAAAATTTTATCTCCTTCCCTCACCCATAACCCAAATCATCATTAAGCGAGTGACACAAAGTATATTCATGCTCCTACAGAGAATGCCTCAGAATATTTGCTCATCCTAAGGCATTACTCTGATGCTTTTTTGCCTGTTTTTTTGTTAACTCATTGAATTTGTATTTCACTCATTTCCGAGCAACTCAGGGTGGCATACAAGGAGAAAATTCAATTATATTCTCAAAACTATCCTGTGAAGTAGGTGAAGTTTAGGGGACAGTGACTGGCTCAAGGTCCAGTGAAGGGATGTTTGGGGCAGTGAAGGGATGTTTCATCCTTATAGTTATTCTTCTCTGATGTATGAACATAACCCAGACAATGTGCATAGATTAGGACAATGTGCATGGCTCCCCCAGGTATCATTGGTGCAAAGGGCAAAAAAGCAGACTTTCCCCATTGTTTGATTCATCCTCTTTGATTCAGGAAACCTAAACAAAGTGCCTACCGATAATAATTTGTATTTTCCCAGGTTGCAAATTCTGTCAGTTGCCAGAGTTCCTCAAACTTCCATACAAAGGACCAGTAACTTCTAATGAAAAGAAGTGTCTTTGTGTCTTGTGTCTTTAACAAATGAACCTTGGTTAGAGTAGATCAATGGATGAGATTCTTCCTCGCAAAGTGCTGCAGTCACTGTGCAAATGGTAACATTACCTCTGGTTGCCATACTTCTAGGTGCCCAGTCTTATGCAACTCCCATTCATCTTCAAAAGATACTTGAATGAGAGACATTTCTGTTCTGCTTGAACAATACTGCATTTCTGAAATCTTACCAAAAATGTACTGCTAAAATTATCTGGGAAATTACTATGGCTCTGTCAAATCTGGCCCCAGCTAAATCAACAGCATAGCTCATTCTATAGATACTTTTACTAACCTCTTACAGAAGTGCACAAATGTTTTCCCAAAAGGTTCTTCCAAGTTAAAGTGATTGCAGCATGCACCCATGTGGTCACCTTATTCTTGTGCCTGAGCCACTCTTGGAGACAGCATAGCAAAAGAACTGAAACAGAAGAAAACGTATAGGCATAGATGCTAGAGTTATTATCTAAAGGCAGATTCCAGGCAAAGTCCACAAAAGAGCTAGTTCCCACAGTCCTTGAGCACATAACTGGCTGTTCATTTGATAGCTGTCCTTATTTTTATTTTTTTTTAATATTTTAACTAGACTGGATTTTTGTGTGCCCATAGGAAATTGGCAATCTGGATGTTTTGCCGCAAATGTGAAAGTAGTTTCCATGCACCACCACACAATCTGTGTTGAAGTTCTTTGTACGAACTTCATACAAACTCTGAATTGCAGTTTACACCACTGCAACTTAAAACAATTATTTTTGCTACAGGTGCAACTGAGTAGGAGAGAGAACCAGCAGAGACCAGCTGTACATGGAAGAGTTGTTAGACACCCACATTCTCCCATGATGGTGGGTTTTGTAATGGTCCTGTACTACCATATTAAAAGGATCAGTATACATTCAGCTCTCAGAATACAACACAAATGAAAATGCTGAATCTTTTTGTTGTTCCCAGTTACATAATAACCAGCTGAATCCATGTTGATCCAAACTCTGTATAAATTTCACCATGAGATAACCTCAAAATTTATCCTGAGTAAAAATAAACTGATATTGTGAATTCATTTCAAAAACTATACAAACTCGCAGACTGATACATCTGTTCAATTATGAATGTATCTATGGACAATTAAACACATAAGACAAGAGGGAATGTTGTTCGCAAATCATTTATTTGCATGATAAACACGGGAAGATAATATCTATGCTGAACTGAAAAAAATATACAGTTTTAGGTGGTTTGGAAAATGAAAAATAATAATCACACAAATGTTGACCCTACATTATTATGCTTAGTCTTGCTACCATTTTAAGTGATTTGTTCTTAGTCCGCCTTTGGGGGGGAAATTAAACTGTTTATACAAGAATATATTTATTTTTAAATATTCAATATTATCCATATGTGGAAGTGTTCAGCAAGGAGGACTTACTAACATTACAGTTCAACATCAAAGTTACTTGCTCACAGTGTACAAAGTGTTGAAATACCCTGCTAATGCAACATTTGGTACAACTTGACCTTGCTATTTCAACACTTCTGGGGTCTTTCAAAAAATACCAGAGCTGATCAGAATGAAAATAAGTTCTGTAGTGTACAACAAAAATGTAACATATGATGGAGAAAGGATTTAATTTTCACTGTTTGGCACTATTCAGTTGTGCTTCACTTTTGTTGTTAATGTCAGATTGGTAGTCTGAAGAGAAAGGACAAGAGGGAAAGTCTTTAATGAAGACTCAAAATCAGGAAGGATCCTGGGAGAGTACTTTGCTTTTCATCTCTTCTTAGCATTGATCTCTTGTGCTGTTTAGAGGAACAACAGAAGCAACAGGTTGAGAAGTTTAAAGTTGCCCTTCACAGTATGAGCCTTATTGCTCCAGTCTGAAAATGGAAGTTGCACTAGACCCTGCTAGGGCTACACTCAGAGAGAGGGACTACAGATCCCATGGTATCCCCTTCTTTTAAATGAGCTGAAAATCTTTAGTGCCTGCCTTGTAACAAGAATGCAGTTTAAACATTAGCACTCAGTATGCCTTTCTATTAGAAAACTTTTCCTGTCCACGGAGGAATTAAAAAATTCCCTACTTGTCCTGGAAACATTGCAGATACTTAGTCCAAAAAGAAATACTTTCAGAGCATTCATTGATAAATCTATTTCTTAGTATGTGAATCTGTATTGTTTGGCTATGGATAGATCTGATTCATTCTTTTAGAAAAGTTTCTACAAAGAAAATTTTTCACTTGCATTGCTAGAGACTGATGTTTTGTTTCTGATGATGGGTTCCCTGAGGATGGAGGGTGTGATCTTTACTGTGATTCCTTTTCATTCGCTTCATGTTCAGACGTCAAACATGTCTATTACAAATCCCTGCTGGTTTGGAACTTCATGTTCCAATTCTTATTCCCTTCTAAATTTCTCTCCTACATCTGGCCACAGTTTTAGCATCTGACTCTCACCCTCTACCATAAGGACATGTGGAGTTACCCATGACTGACATTAAAGGCATTGTGTGAGTCATTAGTGCATGAAGCACAATAATTCCCAAAGAATCACATGATATGCTTTGCAGCCCAGTTAGATGTCATGCCATTAATCATTGCAGGGAAAAAAAATGTAATATTGAGGGAAGATCACTAGCTGAGACATAGCATTATTTGTTTTATCTGTTTAACATTACCAAGAATTCTTTGATGTTTTTGCTGAGATAATAGCCTAAATAATTTCTTGTTCTTTCCACTCTTTTTTTCCAGCCATCTCACTATGATTATTATGCAATAGGTCCTTACCAAATATGGCAAAATCACTGCATTTGAAAGACAGACAATTCTCTGAACCTTTCCACTAATGTTGCATTTCTCCAGTTAGACAAGGCATGTTTTACAGCATTTCTCAAGAGTTGACTGTCGTCCTGGATGTCTTTGCAAGCAATGACTGTGTGAGGAGTCCTTTTCATCATATGGAACCAGCCCTTTTTATCTTCTGGCTATCACTAGTGGCCTGATACTATGAGCCAATGTGCTGAGGCCAATGGTTCCTGGGACAAGTGTATAGTCCTGTAGTTGATCCAGGATCCACAGCAGCAATCTAGCACTGGTACTTTTTTATTACCCTAAATGTCATCTGCCATCTCCTCAGATTTCTCTGAGCTTAGCTGCAAATTCACAGTATGAATTTTCCCAGCAACACTTTAGTTGTTCCAGTTGTAGTGAAAGGTATTTTGGTGTGGCTTTATCTTGAATGGGCAATTGTGTGCCTTTAGCTTGACCTTCTCCTGGTGGAGATAAACTGTTATATCTAATTCGCTGATATAGATCAGCACAATTTGAAGCTCTGGCTATGGGGATTGTCATAATAAGTGTCTGTTTCAGAAGTTACCACTGTAGTCCTGAAGTAAAATATGACCAGTATGATGCCTCCAAGAACTGGGACAGCAATAGCCAGTGGTGATGGTATAGCAAACCTGTCCCACATCCTGAAGCATGTTATGGAAGATATTTTGAAAATAATATAGGGATGAGTAAATAGCAGAAATTTTCTAATATTTCCTTTATGCTATATCTCCTCTGTACTACAGGCCAGTGACACTATGGAACCAAAGAACATTCCATAGGATCAAACAGCTCAGCTCAGGTGGGAACAACTTGAAGAATAATCCAGGTTCTACTGTTTTCCTCACTGATATTTTTTAAAGAAGACACCACACCAAAAATGGTAAGTACAGAAGAAAGCATTAAATGGAAAACTAGACAATTTCGGTTTTAATTAAACCTCTATTCTATACTCTGAACAGAGAAAGCCAGACTATTGTGCAATGTTGATCTGATGCTCCCATCACCAATGCTTCAGAAGCATAAAAGCAAAGGAAATGAACAGACCTGATTCATTATTTTTGAATGATATCAGGTAGAAATCACTTTTCAAGACTTCATCTTGTCAACATCTGGAAACAGGCATCTTCTCCAGACATTGCTTTTGAAGCTTGTTACTGTGCTCAAGATGCTAATTTCCTGGTAACAATGAGAATTCTTGCCAGCACCAGCATCAGATGTAGAATTAAAGGCTTAACCCAAAAAAGTAAACAGATAAAAGGTTTCTTTTAACTTTATGGAGTTTTGTTTTGTGGTTCTTTGGATTTGATAAGGTTTACTCATGATAAAGCAAACCTTTGTTGAAGGCAAGTAGCATTTTAGGGTAGGTTAAGAATTTTTTAAAAAGATAAACAAGAATAGTCTGAATGCACATGCCATTTTTTGTGTGTCTAAAAATATTGAAGTGCTTTTGAATTTACTTGCAAAACAAACAAATCAGCAGATGGTTAGGCTGACATGATATGGACTAGTTTACATCATAAAACCTATGGTAAGGAATCCTCTTTCATTCTGTCAGATCTAACTGGTTCCTTTTCTTGGCTGCCCTACCTAAAAAGGGACGAGAATGGACTGACAGGTCAATCCCTGAAAGTTTTCATGCTTCCAGAAAGTCAGATCAGCTGACCATTTTCACTTTTAAAATGGCAGAATTTTTGGCATGCATAATACCCAGGCATATGTCTGGTTTTGGAGAATTAAAATGAAAAGAGTTGCAAGTTTCATTATAAAATAACACTCCTGGCCAGCAGCATAATGGAGGAAGAATACAAGAAAGTGCATTTTTATTTGCAGAGCAGGAGTCACAACTGACAAATCCTTCCTGTACTGGGAAGTGAGGAGATAATGAGACTTTCAAATTTTACTATGGTTTTTGATAGTTTAGTACATAGGAAGTCAGAAAAATTGAAATATAATCAAGCAATTTTAAATCAAAAGCTAAAGATTACATTTCAGATGGTTGAAGGTCTTTTGAGGAGCTCAAGTGCTTCACAAGTTGAACCTATGCAATCAAAAGGCAGAAGCACTGAGTTCCATGGAACTTACTTCCAGCTAAGCCTAGGATTACTTTTTATTTTTATTTATTTATATTTTTATTTGGGTATTTTTACCCTGTCCAGTATGTTGCAGGTCTCTGGACAGCTTACAATTCAAAATCCAGCAAATACATAGAAACCCAAATAATACAAAATAATCCATGACTGAGCATAAAACATAGTTAAAATATTAAACATTAAAATTACAGAAAAATAAAAAGGTCTTGACCTGGCACCAAAAAGCATATAAAGTCAGGGCCAGATGGACCTCTCTAGGGAGTGCATTCCATGGGCAGAGCACCACTGCAGAGAAGGCCCTCCTCCGAGTATGTTTTCTCCTAATCTCCTTCAAGGAGGGTTCCCAGAGCAGGGCTTCTGCTGCAGATCTTAAGGAGTGGGTGGGCATGTAGGGAAAAAGACGTTCCTTTAGGTACTATGGGATTACTAGCATGTTTATCCCAAGCAATGGGGCATTATGCTCCATGTTTTTTGGGGAGGAGCTGTGTGTACTCATGTATATAAACTGGTATGAGATCCTACACGTCACAATTTACTTTGCATCACTGTCCCTGACAGAGAAGAGAGAACTGGGTCACAGTGCTGAAAGCTCATAATCTACATTACTGTATGGTATATGTATCCTCACTGTGGTTACTGCTAGGCTTTATGCACCTGACTTCCACCTGTTGGGCCAGGTTCTGTTGGATGATCCACTCTCACTTGTGTATATGAGATCCCTAATGTATGTTTTCATAAGAAAACTTCAACAGTGCATCCTAAGCAATGGAATGCATTCCACTTTTTAGGTAGCTTATCTGCTAATAGAAAACAAGGCTCCTTTTGAAATTAAAAGGCAAAGTATAATTAGTACAATATTTTCTCTCTCAAAATCTGACAATTATTGCACATGTAGAACAGTGAGAAGATGACATCTGGTGCAACTGTTTCTTCTTTTGGGAATATATTTGAGTTTACCTTCTAATAGAGAAATTGCTTTGCCTGGTAAAGCAAAGGTTGTCTTTATAAGAATCCAAATCAGAATGAGAGATAAGAGAGAAATCTGTTAGCCACACTTATTATGGTTCTTTTAGCTGAACTGTGTTATTTTCATTGGAAGTTATTGTAAACTGCCATGAGAATGTTATGATACAGCAATATTTAAATACTCATAAATAAAGCTTCTTTTGACTGACCACTTTTTTCTTGGGAACACATCCTTGTATGGACGAATAACTTTGGCATGTATCAAGTATATTGCTGACACATTGTCTGGCAGGTTTTAAGGAATGAACCTTAATATCTTTGTGCCAAGATGAAAAAATATTTAATACAAAAGAAATCCTTTACTCTGTTGGTTGCATAATGTTGTATAAGCTTACCTGTTTCTGTAATATGTATGAACTCAACTATAAACCAATTCACAAAGGTACTTCCATAGAATCAAAGCTAAAGGGCACTGTATATGGTGTCTGGTCCAATCCCATGCTCACTATAGGCAAGTGGTGGCGAACCTATGGCATGCGTGCCACAGTGGGCACGCAGAGCCCTCTCTGTCGGCATGGGAGTCAAGCCAACCCAGCATCTCCCCAGCAGCCAAGCATTGGATAACAGTGCACATAGGGGCTATGTGCATGCTCAGAATGGAATAGCAGTGCCAGGTGATGACATCACAAGTGGCGACTGATTAGCCACAACTCACCCAAGCTTTCGGATGGCCGGTCAGTGTGCTGCCAAGGATATATACATATATTTTCTTGGACTGGCTGTGAGTTGTTTTTTCTAAAAACTAAACCCTCGGTATTCAGGGGGTTTTTTTATTTTTAGTGTTGGCACTTTGCGATAAATTAGTGGTTTTTGCGTTGCAGTTTGAGCACTCAGTCTCTAAAAGGTTCGCAATCACTGCTATAGGCCATTCAGAGCTACAACAGTCCCATGTCAGGGCTGAGCCCTAGCTTGGGTATGTGAGTCTAAAAGTGGAGAAATGCACAAATCAGAACCACGCACAAACCAGAAGGTAGGAGAGAAATGTAAGCCAGGTCTGAAAGACCCCAAAAAATACAGGAAAACTTTGTTATTCAAGTAAGCTCAACTAGAACAGGAATCATTCCCAATTAATAGGACCCAATTATTATCCCAATAGACAGAGTCACTCCAAAGTCTGTGCAACTCACAATGCATAGTACCCAAAACTGTCAGTAAATGGTTCCATTATTGCACTATTCTTGCCATAATGTTCTGCTGCAGCCTTCCCTCTCATGAATCAAGGCTGTGGTTCTTCCCTCTTTCATCCATCTCAAACCAAGCTTATCTGCAACCTGAGTAAACAAGAAACTGAGAAATAGAATTCTCAAGGTTTAGATTATTTCTCTTACCCTGCTTTAACCCCCTCCCAACAAATGTCACTTATGGAATGACTTTATAAACCCAGGAGAAAGTGCCTGAGGCTGTAAGAATGCAAAATCCTAAAACCTTTTGTTTTGGGTAGGATTTTCCTTCAGGGGGTTGCATTCAGCATAAGAATGGCTTTTGGCTATCAGCAAGCACAGGTAATGTATGTTTTCATTCCTCCTGAGGCTATGCAAGCCAAGACAATCTGCAGAACAATAACAAGCCCATTGACTTTTTCCTGCATAACAATGGCTTAGTCTACTAACTCTAAAAAATCATAGCATGGCCTTTCCTCAATGGATATGCATTCTGTTTGCTTGATCTTTTAGCTGAGAATCTTGGCTTTAAAATGAGACCAAGAGGATCTGATTTGAACTTTGCTTTTGTACCTTTTTATTGGGGGAGCGGGCACTGTTTGGCTTCACAAAGTTAGCCTTTCCAGATATTCTGATGGAGCTTCTGGGGTGACTTTATCACCTCAGGCATTTTCCTTTCCTTTCCTTTCCTTTCCTTTCCTTTCCTTAAGTAGGAAGCTGAAATTTGGGCACATTTTAGACTAGGCACTTTGTGGCAATGCCATACAATGATGAATCAGTAGGAATATTCATGTGTAAATTACAGTTCAGAATGAGCACCTGCCATACTAACATCATTACACAATACTGGATGAAGGCTATTTTGTGAATGCACTTCCTCTTTTATCAGCAGGAATGACTGGACAATGTATTTGCAAACTAACTGGAATAGTTATTTCTAGGCTACGAGTAAACAATGTGTGCTTTCCCACAATATGTTGGCATACAGCTCCTAGGACATAGGACAAGGCTGATGAGAGTTGTAGGGCAAAATATGCTTAATTATTTTCTGTTCTTTCTTATAATCTACTTTCAGGACAGAAACCTTTCCCATGTGCCTTACATGTTACATGATTAGCATCACTATAAGAAATGGGGTTTTTTATATAATAATAATCTGTCCCTTAGTACAGTTGTTGATGGAGGACTCTGTGGGGTAGGAAGGGACAATATGGCCAAAGCAGGAGCTTGACTTCCATTCCCAGAAGTTCCTAATAGTATGGCCAATGGTCAGGAACATAAAGAGTTGATGTCTAAAACATTGGGATATCTTACTTCTGCCCACCAGAACAGAGACGGACAGTCTATGACCTTCCGGATATTGTAGCCCACAGTTCCCATGAACCTTTGCCATTGGCTAGCTTGTTGGGTTTCTTGGGAGTTGAATGCCACAACTTATGGAAAGCTGCAAGTTATCCAGTCCTGCATGTTTTAAAAGGACCACAGAACAAAGGGAGGGAACAACTTAAGACAGGAAAGTAAACTGTTTTGAAGCAGATTAAGGTTAAACATTAGATTTAGGGAGGCTGATTTATGTTAAACATTAGCAAGAACTCCCTTATTATAAGAGCAGTTCAGCAATGGAATAAGTTGTCTGTAGAGACAGTGGAATTGCTTTCTTTGGTTCAGGGCAGGACAAAAATGTGGGTATCCAGACCAACAACTCAATCTGAAGAATGTCTTCTCCAGTTCAGGGTACAGTTCTACTCAATGGCTAGAACAAGAAGCTGGAACCTAAAGTGCAGCAAGAAACATATACTGCTCTGTTGACAAGGCAAAGCAAGAAAAGCAGACTCCTAATATGTATACTGGGAAATCATATTCAAAGCAAAGAATATGGGAAAGATGGCCAATCTAAAAGAGTCGTATAGTTTGCCAACTGTGTACATATGCATGTGTGTTCACACACACACCTTTCTGCAACTAAGGGGCATTGAAGGCCTTAAAAAATTCACTCTGCTCTAGCTCAGTAAGGCAATCCCTAGTCCAGAACGGATACTCCTCATTCAAGCCCAGAATCACTAAGATCTCAGATGTTTTCACATGAATATTTTATGGATTGTTAAGAAACACGGTGCCCTATCTGAAGAATGGTCTGTATGATCCATGTCAACTGGCTATCTGCCATAAGTCATGGTGGTTGGATTGTGTTTGTGCCAATCCCTAGAAAATCAAGGGTTACTTCCCTATAGCCAGCCATTCATAGGTGTGGGGTGGGGGGGTGGGGGGAAGGATTACCTATAGTATACAAGTGACACTATAGTTCAAATGCAGATGACCTAGAACAGCAGCTTATATAAATGATAAATGACATGCAAAAGAAGTTCTTAGGCAGGAGATGAAGTTGAAGGATACTTGAGGAATTATATCTGATGAGAAGTGATCCACCTGCATTTTCAGGTTGGAATGAAACAGTCTTTCAAATTTCACACTTTGACAAGTTTTGTGATGCATTTTGCAGCTCAGGAAAAGGACCAAAATAAATTATAAAATGTTTATTTTTGTACAAATACATTCAGAAAAATGAAATGAAATATGAAATAAAATGTTTTATAAATGTATATTTTGTGTGGGGCAACATTCAAAATATGTAATTGAAATGCAAAATTTTGTGCAGATTCAGTCACACATCAGGACATGTAAATGAACGTGTACAAACTGACACAGACTGGAAACAGACTGGTTCCCTAGTGAAAATGAGAACAGAAAGGAACAGCAAGTTACAAGCTAGAATATTTGACTATTTTGTTCAATAAAGCTAAGTTCATGCCTGAGCAGTACTTCCCTAGCAACAATAGGTTTGATGACAAGGCCGAAAGAAATTAAAACCAAGCAACAGACTGGAAAGGCAAACAAACAAGCTGATGAGGTGGGGAGAAAGACTGCCTTGCTTTGCACAAGAGAAAGGGAGAGAAATCTTTACAACCTGCAAGAGAAAAATTAAGCAGCACAGTTGTAATGGTATATTACAAACCCTTCTAAAGTAATTGTAAATGCAAGCCTAGTTGGGCATGGAGTTATTTTGATGCAACAGGGTCATGTCAGAGCATATGCAAGAAGAATGTTAACAGGCGTAGAACAGTGGTAGTCATTAGCAGAAACAGAAGCCTTGGCATTTGCGTGGGGATGTGAGCACCATTTGTATCTTTATGGAAGCAGATTTACCCTGTTCAGTGACTGCAGTCTGCTAGTGCAACTTTCCAAATCCCAAAACAGCAGCAATTAAGAGATGGAGAATATGACTGCAACTTTATATCCTCACTATGAAATACAAACTAGGCAAAAATAATCCAAATGACTACTTGTTATCCACTCAACAGAGTACAAGTCAACAGTTCCAAATGATATAAGTCATGTATAACAGAAGAATGTATCAACATTCTTGTGACTCATGCCATGCCCAGATCAGTGTCTTTTGCTGAAGCCAGGCAAGAAACTGCAGAAGATGTAATCTTATAGAAACTGATGGTCCTTATTCTGCATGAGCGGTGGTAAACCACAAGCATCCAAGGAACAATTTGCTAAGGATGGAAAGGAGTAATAATGTCCAACAACCTTATACACCAGATTAAAGAGAAAATTGGGGGTGGCTATATATACACATTAAACCTCTCCAGCCTGGGTCCTCCCAGACACTATTGTGTATGATTACTACAAACCACAGCTAGTATGGCCAATGGCCAGGGATGATGCAATGAAAGTCCCTTACCAAGAGCCCCCACCCCCCCACCCCAGATCTGGTCCTTCTCTTCCCCACTGCAATCTACTTGTTCCCCTGCTCTTTCTCTGGCCCAGACCACAGTGAAGGTGTGAAAGAAGAGTAGCAAATACCACTCCCTGCATACTCCTTCCTTCTCTACCTGTCCAGCATAACAATAATGAGGAACAGGAGGAGCAGCAGCAGGCTGCTGAAAAGATTGGATCATGGAGGGAAGGGGCTCCACTGAGGAACTCTTGACCAAAAGCCCTGCAAAAAGTAGAGCCAACACTGCTGGCTTTCAATAATCTGGTTGGGATTGTGTTGGGGGAAATCAACTAACGTCTATCAACAGCTCTTTGGGAGCGACTCATAGAAAAGATTGAATAGAATGGATTTGTGCAGTTTCTCACTCTGAATGGCACCACATGTGAACTGGAGTATTACCTGATTGTGCTGAACATTTTATGTCATCGTGCATTCATTACTGTGCATGTCTAGTTTCAGAAAATCAGATTTCCTAACCATCTAATTTTACCTGACATCTCACTGTGACTGGTGATAAAGTTATTAGTAAGAGATATATTCTTAGTACCTAATAATGAAGCTTTCTGCAATTATATTACTTCCATAGGCAGGCTCACATGAAGCAGACAGCCAAACACCCACTCATTTAATTCTTTTATAGAAGCTGCTGTGACTTCAACTAACAGTCTGATTTCTTCTATTTATAATATCCCCCAAATGGTGTTGTTGGAAAACAACCAATCCTATGTACAAGCATGGAGAAGTTATTTAGTTGTGTCTTTGGAAGATGACTGATAGTGTAGTGGAACTCTTTTGCATATTTATCAAACAACATCAATGCAAAGCTGTAGATTACCCCTGTAAAGCCTCACACAATGTATCCAGTCAATAGACTCTATTGTTGGAAGGGTGCAGTCAGATTGGTTTATGCTATCATCTTTTGTGGGAATGTTTCAGAACATAGCTGATCATTAATATCAGAAATTTCTCCACCTTAGACTACCCAGTAATATGTGCCCAAGGCTATTATTCTTTAACATGTTAAATCAAATGACCCTGGATCCTTGCATAAAGATCCTTCCATAATTAACGGTATACAGTGGCAAAATGAAACATGGCACACACATAGAAGTCCTCAAAGCAAGCAACTAAAACAGCAGTGCATTGGTAACATTTGGGACATTAATATTTTGTTTCAACAAAAGGGTATTATGGCATATGGCTCCATTTATTTCCTATGTGGCAAATTTCTTATCAAACTCCAAATCAGTACAACGTCTGTATTTTACAAGCAAATTGCACTGCTTCTTGATAGTGTAGTTTTGTGGGTTCTTTTTTGTTGCCTAGG